GGTGGCTCAAGCAGTAGTATTAGCCTGTTGAATAGAACTACCTTTTCTGAGAGCTATGATAAATGCAAAGACTGTCTCATTTGCACTGACATTTATTCAGTTATGCATTAAGTGAATAAGTAGCATAAAAGGAAGAACAAAGTCGTAATTCATACTATAGAAACACTCAATTCACCAGTCTAGTAACGCTTCTCAGTGTCAAGTGTGCATACTACTTTGCACAGAAACGTTGTTTAAGGGCCAGTAAATATATTAATATTAGTCCCTTAATTACTCCTGTGCACTCATGATCATCATGGCTAGGCTTCACAAACGAAGATATGGGAAGGGCTCTACCCACACTTGCTACAAGCGCGCTGATGGCTATAAAGGCTGATGTGAGATAGGCAATTCTGGTTGCAAAAGGCACAGTGGAAAGTCTCCTTAGGCAGATTTGGTGAGGCACAATTCTTTCTGTATTGTCTTTTCTCCTCGAGACTAATTCTACGTGCGTTCTCAAAGGATGCAGCAGCGTTATGGATGGTGTGTCTCCACGTCTCCCGACTGGAGGCCGGAGTGGACCACTGATGGTAGTCAATATGGCCAAACCTGAGGTATTGCTTCAGAGAGTCCTTGTGTCTCCTTTTTGGGGCTCCTCTGTTGCAGCAGCCAGGGAGGTGTTGATCCTCCATCCTGGAGACGTCCCCTGCCCAGTGCAGCTGCGTCCTCAGCAGCTTGGCCTCAATACTGGTGACCCCTGCCCATTCAAGGACAGTGACATCAGTCACGTAGTCAGTCCAGTGGATGCTTAGGATTGTACGGAGGCAGCGCTGATGGAAGCGTTCCAGGAGTTGCAGGTGGTGGCGGTAGATGACCCATGATTCAGGCTAACATAAAAGAGTAGACAGTACAATGGCTCTGTTTTCTTCAGGTGTTTATTGCACCAGACTTACAGAGTTTTCCAAAAGCTCTGTATGCCTTTGCTACCCTGTTGTCTATCTCTTTGTCAATCTTACCATCCGAGGAAATGATACTTCTAGGTAGTCGAACTGCTGGACTGACTTAAGCTCTGATTGGCCTGTGGTGACATGGGGATGACGGGAGACTTCCTGAGGTGCAGGTTGGTAAAGAACTTCTGTATGATCTTATCATCTGCAGGAACCTTTTGGGTGAGGCGGCGCAGGTTGGTGTAGAACTTGTCCTTTTCTGCAGGGTCAGCTTGGAGAGCTGGGGAATATATGCTCAAGAGAACAACATGTTGCTTGATGTGTTATGGGAGGCGTAATGTGATCAGAATGACCTGTAGGCAGATTTTCAAGTTCGGAGGTGATGGAGTTTTTAATCATGAAACCAACTCCTGAAAGGTATCTTTCAGTTTTGGGTTTGCCTGACCAATAGAGTGTGTAGCTGGCACCGTGCTCTTTGAGGCTGCCTTCCCCATGGAGATGAATTTCACTGAGAGCAGCAATGTCGATGTTGAGTCGTGATAGTTTGTGGGCAATGAGAGCAGAACGACGCTCAGGACATCCACTATCCGCAGTATCGAGCATGGTTCCAATGTTCCAACATGCGAGTGTCAATCTGAACACACGTTTGGAGGCAGATGTATGCCTTTGACTCTTTGTGGTTGTTCGACCACATCAGAAGATGCCCGTTAGCCATGATTAGCCAACTGAGTGGAGGGTGGAGATGACCTTTGGTTAGGCCACCTTTTCTAGGCCCCTCTCCGTGTGGAGCAAGCAGTGCTCTCCTTGAAAAAGGCTGCTTGGTCATTCAGGATGTTGCCCAAAAAGACTGTCATCTCCGGGGTCAGTCTCGAGCGACCCATGTCCTGAACCGCCTGCATGCACGGTTGGGTCTGCGGCTTTCACAGTACACCTTATCACCTGCCGTTTTGTCCCTTGCCTGTCGCTACAGGACTTTACAAATGTGGGTGTATCCTTCAAGCCCACGTAATTGATTTTTCAGGTGAGGCACAGTGTGCACAGAACTGGCCTCATCCTTTACTCCTAAGCTTCATCTGCCAGGGCCTAGCAAGCTTGGACGGTGACAACAAAGTCCTCAGGATGCAGTTTTGGTTAGAGTATCCTTCTCTTAGATGGATGGCCTTACAGGGCTAAACGAGCTCCATCTGCCCAGGCTTGGAGTTAGAGTTGTTTTTCTCCTAGGATGGTTGCCGGGAGGCTAGTGAGCCCATCCTACCTGTGGACACCCTTCAGTTGAAACCTGTCTGGCATGGGAGACCCTATCGGAGGCATATGCCACTGCCAGCATAGCTCACAAGCGAGCTCATCCTACTTCTCTATGGACACCCCCTTGTCGCGGGGGAGAAGTTTGCGTGCCCTTATGAGGTTGCAAGCTCTGCTGGTGGTGGCATATGCCTCCGATAGGGTCTCCCATGCCAGACAGGTCTCAACTGAAGGGTCAGACTAAGTCTGTCCACGGGTAGGATGGGCTCGCTAGCCTCCCGGCAACCATCCTTAGGAGAAGGACAACTCTAACTCCAAATACGGGCAGACAGAGCTCATTTAGTCCTGTGCACTAGAACTGAGGAAAATTACAAGAAGTAGATAGAATTCTTCTATTCCAAGGTCTAACTGTAATTCCAATTTTTGTTTCAAAAAAAGGTTTAGTTGTGTTATCTTCTCTGAAAGTTAATTTCAGAATACTGTCAAAATCAACACTTTAAATCCCATTGTACTGCTTGATAATCTTTTCAATGTGCTAGTAACGGAATTTGGAGTAAGTGGGACACTGAGGAGGATGACTAATTAAACCATTGAAAAGAATATTGTACAGAAAGCACTGGAAATTTGCATCCAATATCTACATACAAAGCATTAATATATTAGAAGAAGATTTCAGGACTAGCACATCAATACAAGCAATTGAAATCCCAACTGCAGTGAAGAAGGAGCTACAACACTTCATAAACTTAAAGAGGAAATAGACATGCTGCCAAGTAGAGAGAAGTCCAAATACTTTAAATAATATTCAGCAAACTTTAAATCATTATGTTTTTTCATAGACTAACAAGTTTGGCTGTGCCTAACCAAAGCAAGAAAAATAAATAGCTGTTCAGTTTTATTTGATCTTTCATTAGATTTCTAGGGTTGTTTCAAGGCAAACTTGTGGACAATGGATCCAAACTTGGATATCGTATACTACTCTTATGACAAGAAGTAACAACATGGACAATAGCTTCTAACGCATCCAATAACTTAGTTATCATGAGGAACAAAACTCACATGCTACCCATCAAGCAATGCTGCACTGTGAACATAGGTTGTGTTAAATCACTGCATTGCCTGTACACAAACTGATGAAACTCATTTCATCATTAAGACCTAGTTAGAGTAAATTCCACGTCACTCACCTGTGTCAGGAACATCTGTAGGTCTCATAATTCTCCGGATCTGCTCCATTGACTGGAGATCTGGAGATAGTCCTGTAAGTACAAGAAAACAAGTGACTTATGTATTTTACCTGTGAAAAGGCTTCCAGAGAGCACACAATTAGAGGTTCAAAGTCATACAGCATCCCTTGTTTCCACTGTAATATAAACAAAAGACAGTTTGCTGTAAGACAATTAAGTTACTGAACAGAGAGAGAGAGAGAGAGAGATGGTAATGCACATGAATTTATCAAGGGCTTTTAATTGTTTTCCTACCATCCTTTTAGCCAGACAGCATGGAACTCTGCAGTGAGGTATGTTCTCTTCAACAGCTTACTAGAGAGAACCAGTGAAGGCTAGCATTGCCATTATCTAACACAAACTGGGTGCCAATGCCCTTCTTTACAACTGCCTTCCTGAAACCTAAAAGAAAAATTTCCTACTTAATTTTAAAAGACCAGAGGTCAAAGCAGCCTGCAAGCATGACTGGAATAGTAAGTCACATCACTCCATTTCACTGTTTCACTACACATCAGAAAGATAGCAGTCTCTGGATGCTGTAAACAAATACTAGACTGTGCAACTGCAATAGATAGTGAACACAGAGATAGCTGCATACTACAGCTCAGCAGCTTAGTAATTTATAAAACCACACTACCTCAATTACTCAAAATCTCATTTACCACAAAGACACAGCTCTTTTTGTATAGTTTTGCCATATTAGCATGTAATTACAGGCAAACCATACAGTTTACAAAGTTGCCCTTTGAACCGTTAACGTGCATTTATGTCCAGAGCTTTTTTACGTGAGGCATACAGGCAGGAAAGTGAGCCAGCCAGATGCTCTAGCATCTTAACATGTCTTTAAATAAGGGTCCTAAAGTGCCTTAAATGACTTAGGCCAAGATCACCTAATTAAGAAAGTTGCAAATTTGGAAATAGAGCATGAAGACCTAATTTGTGATGATAATTTTATGGCTTTTTTTTATTTTTTTTTTTAAAAAC